GCTCTTCTGGCTCAAAGTGAAGAGGCTAAAAGACTTCTAGGATTATAGTAATTGCCCCTTCTATTTTTTATACTCTATCTTGATTCTACAGAATCAGTATCTTCTTGATTCTATAGAAATAAGACTTTGCAAGTTCTAGAATGAAGATGGTCATTTTTTCCAAAATACATTTTATTACACATTTTTCACGCTATCCTAATTTATGAGAGTTTATTCATTTTCAGTTTCCACCTTCAAGCTCTAAATAGCTAGCCTGTTTTGAATTTATCTTTGTCCACCTATTTTCCTCTTTGTTTTATTTTACCTTAGTAATAACTGTTAAATTAGAAAGTAACATTTTGTATGAATCTTCACTTCAGTAGAATGTTGAGTAGCTCTTAGAAGATTTATTATATTTAATTTCATCTATCATGTGTAAATTTGTAATTGTCAGACATTTCTACATCTGTGGAATGGTATTTAATTTTGAGTTTTCAAGAGAACTGAAATGTTCAATATAGTTAATATGGAACTACGTATTACGCTACTGGAAAAAACACTCACTTGGCTGGGTTTTTGAAATGCTGAATATTTCAGCAAAAAAATTGTAAATACTTTTTTATAAAATCTCTCCTTTTTCAGTAAAACTTTATGCAGATTTAACTGTTTATTGCTTTTGTTAAAAATACTAAAATTCCTCAGCTATGAATACAATAATTTATAAATAATATGAATTCTGGGAATATATGAGTGTCAACAAGATGAGTAACTGAAAAAAAAAATCACACAGACTATGTAAAATTGTGTGTGCGCAAAAAATGAATTTTCCAGGAACAGTTTGGAGATTTATGACTGTTTTTATCATAGGCTTTTTACAGTGATACCCAAATACAGCACATTATTATATAATTAGTCCAAGTCATACAGCACCATGGAGTTTCTATAATGTGACCCATTTTTCTACTACCAAACTAACAAGTGTGGATGCTAATATTTAGCAATTGTAAGGCAGAACAAAACATTTTTAAAGTATTAATCAAATCAGTCTTTATATACTGTATATCTTATTGTACTGATAAGAATGGAATCTTTAAACATATTATAAAATCATACCATAGTATACCAGCTATATATAAACTTGAAGCAAAATTTCAATATTTGGAATAAGAGAAAAATAATATAAGATTATAGATTTTATGCAGATGCACCCATTACTGGCAAAGCAGACATACTGTAATTGGCAAAGCCAATTCTTGAAAGTTTAAACCATTCCCACCATGGTAGGTGAGATTGGCATTAGAGATTTGGATACACTAGAGGGTTTGAGAAAGAAGCTGGACACTGCAAAATCACCAGAGCTTTCAAGCAAACTGGTGCATTTCTTTGAAAATGTAGTTTTGTAATTTGGAAAGTGTTTCTGAACCTGAATTTTTGGGGGCATATCTCGGGGACAGTAATTGCCAAAATACCGTTTCGAAAATAAATATTCTACTCATAACCAGGAACCATATAAATACAATGTGTAGAACAGCCCAGTGCATATATTTTGGAGAGAGAGAGGTTTTCTGAGGATGGACTCCAGCATGAGCCCAAAAGCATGGAAGAATAAACCTTTGGTCCCAGCGATCAACTCAGATTGGATCGTGTTATTTTTTCTTACAGAAACGAAATTCGGCCCTTGCATGTTCTTGTTATCTCCTTCAGGATAGCATTTATTTATTTTATTTTATTTTATTTTATTTTATTTTATTTTATTTTATTTTATTATTTATTTATTTATTTATTTATTTATTTATTTATTTATTATTATTTATGGTTCGATTTATATGCCGCCCTTTTCCAGAGACTCAGGGCGGCTTACAATGCGTTAAGCAATAGCCTTCATACTTTTGTATATACCTGCTTAGTAGGGCTTTCGGCCCTACTTATATTGGTTATATGGCTTTTTAAAGGATGTCTATCTCTCACCAAGAACCTAGCTTAACTTGGCTCAACTGGGAGACTGCCACATTCAGATTTTCACTCCTGATTAGAAAGAACGTATGTCTGAAACTAAGGGAAAGGGTAAAGATGTAACTGATTTTAAAAAAGGGGCTCTGAAGTGGGCCACTGATAGATCACTTGCTGAATTAGGAATGGAAGATCTAAGTTTTTCAGTATGAATTCATGTTATCTAGTTTCTTATGTGGTGGGTATAAAAATAGGAATCGTATGAGGTGGTGATAGGATTTTACTTTCTAGTATGAATGGTGATAATGGGAGAACCAGATAGGAGTTTTGGGGGAAACTGCAGTATTCTAAATAAATGCAATTCAGAGAAACATCATACTGCTAGTTGAAATGAATGGGTAGGTGGTGGATGAAACAAGTACAAAAGAAATGGGTTATTTGGTGACTGAAGAATAAAAGAAAATGTAGTTGATTTTGCACAGAGGTATAATGAAATGAGCAGAGTTTGTGTTTGCTAAATATAATAGCAGTACATGATGGAAGTATGTCAGGAGCTGGGGTAGAAACAGGTACATAGGAAGGTTCAATTTAACTGATTTATTCCTAAAGGCATATGCACAAAAGTCTTCTCAATTAACAGTCAGCACCCGGTTAGAACTAGATAAGGTTCAACAGCACTTAAAGGGTAGGGCTTAGTTTACTTATGGCTACAGAACCACTCTAAACTGATCCCTCTTTACCCTTCCCCTGGTCTGCCAGTCCTTGTCCTACAGCGCATATGTATGTAAATAAATGAAATGGTTCAACACTGGGCAGGGAATAACACCAGGATGTGTGATGTTCATTATTTGCTGAATGTATTTATAGATAAATGCACCAGAGATGCTTATGGTGACAGTAGATATGCATTGATTGGGTCCATAAGTGTACTTTGTATGCAGTTAGTGCCTTGTTGACTGAGAAAGTGAATATATTTGTATATTATTGTATACTAATATATTACAGTATATTAGTATTGTACAATACAATGAGAAGCATAAATTTCAAAATTAATACAATACAGAGAAAGAGAAATTAGAGAAAAACAGAAAACCATGATTACCAGTTTTATATAAATGATAAAAATCATAGTAAATTAAATTGTATACCTTGGGAAACATACTTTTAAACATGCAAATGCTGATAGAATACCAGTGCATGGTCTATTGCAGGGGTTGGCAATCTTAAACCCTCAAAGAGCCACAAAGGTCCTAACCAGAAGCCCCTGTTCAGTTCTGGAGCTGACCGGAAGTCTGGTTTCCCCACCATAGAGTCTCCTCCTAGTGCGGTATCCTTTTTCATCTATTTGTCCTAACCAAAAGCCCTATCAATTGTGGAGCCGACCAGAAAACCCGCCCCTTGCCATAGAGTCTCCTCCTGGCACATCATGCTTCCCCTCCCCCCCCAACCAGAAGCTCCTCAAAATTGTGGCGCCGACCAGTGACGGAGCCACAGCAGAGGGATGAAAGAGCCACATGCGGCTCCGGAGCTGCATGTGGCTCCAGAGCCGCGGGTTGCTGACCCCTGGTCTATTGTGAATACTTGATATTTACTGAAAGAAGCAAAAAGAGTTATATTTAGTGCTTCTGTCAGTATTATATGGAAGTTAGAGATGAATACAAGTAGTCTTCAAATTACAACTAATGGAGATTGCCCATCACAATCATAACTTGAGACAGTTGTAAAGTGGTCACATGACTGACCCAATTTTATGACATTTGTTGCAGCTGTTCTTAAGCAACCAATGCTGGTTTTCAGCAAAAACATAAAAAAGTGGTAGACAGTATGCAACCAGCCATTAATATGACCCAGTTGCCAAGTGTCCAAAATATGGTCACATGACTGCAGGGAGCGCAGGTAGGTTCCACCTTGAACTTTAAAGGATTACTAAACAACTAGTTGTAAACTGAGGATAATCTGTATTACTAGGAAAAACAAAACTAAATTGAATTCTGTAAGATTAAGATCATTTAGAACTGTGTGTGAAAAAGCAGGAAGAGATATGGACAAGGATAAGCGAGTGCTGAAGGAATGTGGATTGAATACAAAAGTGAGCGACCTGCACTAAAGTATGATGAGTTTGTTAGATGCATAGAATGAATGAAGACTGAATCACAAAACAAATGTATGAAGGAAGAATGGGTGAATTGAGAGGAAGAAAAGACTGAAAGTTGGGATTGGATGAAGGTTATCAGAACCTCAGAAAAAAGTACAAAAAGTGGTGGAACTCAGAATGCATTGCAATGACAGAATGTTATGGAGGTAGAGTAAATGGCATTTGTACAATCTAGATTTAGCTGAATTTCTATTTCATACTTATTTACTTTCTTTGGCTTAGTATTTCTTCCATTTTCTGTAGTTTACCAAAAGGAGTGTCCCAATAAGAATGTAATGTGTGTATAAAAACACCAGGCATTCAAAATTATGGACCAATTTTCCTCAAATGCCAGCGGTGATATAAAAATAAATAAATAAATTGCTGTTTATTAATTTGATTCAGATTCTGAAAATGGATTCAATACAAATTCACTTTTGTGAAAATCAGACTGCTGCTGCTATAAAAATCGTTTAGCCAAATGGAAATTAAGTTAGGAGCATCTTTCTTTACTTATTTCCATAATACTTATTAATCATTTTTTATCTAATTTAGGTAAAATAGTCTTGCATATAAGCTATGCAGGCTCTCTACCTTTTTAAAACCAAAATCCAGAACTCCTTTGCTTTTCCGACCAACGGGGCAAAACAGGAGAAAATGAGAAGCCCCTATGCAAACTGTCCATCCTCCTCCCCCCACCCCCACTCCCCAAAAGTTGCGTAACCATCAACAAAGGGAAGCGGAGCGGGCGCCTCCACGGCAGCCCCGGAGATTTCTCTCTTCAAGGTCCCCGTAGAAACGCCGGAGTCTACGACCTACGCGAAAGAGCCATGGCGGTGCCTGGCAGGCTCCACCCCTCGGCTGACGTAAGAGGCAAAAAAAAAGGGGCGGGCCCGTAGAAAAGCATTAGGGAGAAGCCGGCGTCGGCTTTCTGGCCGTAGGCGCGCGATGGCGCTGAGGCGGTCGCTGCTCTTCTGAGGGCAGGAGGGCTGCCGGGGTCTTGGGCGAGTCCGCGCAAGGGACGGGCGCTATGCGGGGCCCGCTGCCCCTCCTCTGCCGGCGTCTACAGAGAGCTCTGGCTGCGGGAGCTCCAGGGAGGGTCAGGCTTTGCCACGAGGCTCCGGCTCCCGCGGCTTCCGGAGGGAGCAAAGGCAGAGCTCAGGTAAGAGGGGCTTGCCCGCTTTTTCTCGCCCCGGGATGGGGAGGGGGAACGCTTTGGGAAGACCCTCCCCCCTGTCGCTCCCTTGACGTCCCCGACCCAAGCAAGCCCAGAGAGCGTAAGGTGTAGCGGGAGCTCTTTCTCTCCGTGCTGGGGTGGCGTTTCTTTCAAACGGGAGCAGAAGGAGGGGAAGAAAAGCCTGGCGCCATCTGCTTTCAGAAGACCCTGCCGTACGCGGGGAAGCGCCGCTTTGCTGGGGGGTGGCGGGGGGGGCTTCGCGCTTTCGTGGGTCTGAATGCCGGGATTGAGGTGGGGAGGGGGGGAACAAACACCGAAGGTCTTCCCGGTTAAGAGCACTTTTCTTCTCGTTTTCATTTCACGCTTAATGCCACTCTAACCCACTTTGGAGGAAACGGGTCAGCGAGAGAAGGCAGAATTTGTTATTTTCCACCTCTGGCTTTCTCAGAGAAGAGTTAAGCCGGGGCTTCACCCCCTTTTTAAGCAGCCAGCAATGGGTTTTGGGGACCCGGTTGCTTTTTTTTTTACTCTTTTTGCTCATGTGTAAATCATTCGATTCCTGTCAATTCCGTTAGGGGTGATGATTGCTTCTGCTGCTGTCAGTTTTCTTAAAACTCTTGTCCTTTCAGCATCGGCTGGCTGGACTTTTGATGCAGGAAAAGTCTGGATTCCTGACCAAATCCATTGGTTTGCCCTCCTGGGTAGTGTGAAACTTATATTTAATGAGTTCTTGAGAAGTTACACCGAACTGTTAACGTGCATGCTCGGATCTGAGTGATCAAGAATTTGGATTCCAAAATATTTGCTGCAACGTTCTCAGTGCATTTTAAGCCTGGTTATCTTGTTTGAAACAATTCATACAGAGAAGAGTTTGTCTTAAATGATAAAGATCGCTAATGTTTTCTTTCTTAATCACTCTGGTTTTCAAGCATGTGCTTTTTTTAAAGTCATCCCTGAGTTAACCAAACATAGGAATTCTGTGTTGCTAGCTGGAGAAAGCTTTAGGCTAGGAGTTGTATATAAAGCTTCTTAACATTTCAAGTTTAAGCATAGTTATTTGGGCTCAAGTAACCTGTCTGAACTAGTAGCACTCCTTTTGTAATCATCACTACTGCTGTAGTTCCTTAAGCGAGGAACTGTATACTGGGTGCCACATAGGTGGAGAAAAGAGTGCATAAATTAGTATTACCTTTAAGTTTATAGGAGGATCAGATTCAGAGTTAATTAATGTGCTAAATATTAAGATTCACAAACTAGCATTAATCTTTGCATTCATTATCAATAGCCATATATGAGAAGGGGTTAGATGGGAACACTCAGTTGATAACTATTTGCTGCAAAAACTAGGATAAAGACAAACTCAGAAGAACATGCAGAATGTGAAATCATTTAAACCCTTTTGGAGGCAATGGTCATTGGAAGCATCTGTTTTAACCTCCAAGTAGCAAAATAACATGCTGCACCTCTGTTTCTATTCTCAATGTATAGGAACAATGCAGGCTGCAAATGCTGCTTCTTTGAGTCACATGATTGGGGGGGATTAGAATGGAACAGTTGGCAACATTAGAAGCTACTGCCCTACTGCTTCTATAGGGAAACACTTTTTTTCTGCAGCCCTGATCCTCCCCATTTTTAATTTTCTTTTTGTTTTGTCGATTTCACTATAACACCACATTTGGTATCATTCTGTCTTTATGGAGTTATCCTGCTGATGATTAGAGAGGATCCTGGTCCCTTTACCTATCTTTTCCTAGATTATTTTGATGCCAGGGATGTTTGTTTCTTTAGAGAAAGTGTACATGAAACATACAGTAATGTTTGAAATTAGATACTACTCTCCTGTTGAAAGGCAGGCACAAATAAGAGCAAATCAACTTGGGCTGCAACTTTGATATTAATGATGATAGGTTGCAATATTGTAAAAGGCATGAACTTTCAGAGTTTTTTTCAGAAACATTTCATTGTTTGAATTATAAGTCATTATAAAGTATATGAGGTGGCTATATGGTTTGCTTTTGCAATGGGTTTATTTTGCAATAGCCATTTGTTCATTCAGTTTGTTTTCATGTACAAAGAGTAATCCCAAAGATAAAATGTGGGATTGTGTTTATACTTGCAGCCATCATTACTAGCACATTCAAGCTGACTATTTAAAAATTAGGTTACTGGACTTGTTATATTCTTTTATTTTCCTTTTTGATTTTACTTATTTTAGCAATATGTTTCTACCTTTCAAAAGATCAAAATTGTGCAGGCAATGGTGGGTTTTGTTTTTTTGTTGCACTGTACAGAAGTTGGACTTTGAAGAAGCAGGATAGGAAGTGTACTGACACTTTTCAAATTTGGTGTTGGAGAAAACCTGAGAATACCAGGACAACAAACCAATAGGTCATCAAACAAATCAAATCAGAGATCTCACTAATAGCACAAATGAGCAGACTGAAATGGTCATACTATGGACACATGCTTATCTGGAGAAGTCAGTAATGCTGGGAAAGGGGAAAAGAAAGAGCAGAAGATGATGAATTCATTGATAGCAGTAATAAATGTGTCATTAAAAGCCTGAAGAACCAGGTTGGGGACATATTCTCCTGGAGATAATCTATCTACAGTACATGGTTTTTTAAAAATTGATACCATCTTGATACATAATCAATTCTACCTTTCAAACTGATGATGTTGTTGTTTTTCCATCTGTGCTGTGGCAAATGGAATGTAGACATTATGCCAACAGTTTCTTTCTGGTTTCTGGGCAAAGCCAAACTAAAATGACTAATAATATGTTATTACGATCTCCATATACCTTGTGGGCAAATGTGTAGTGAAATTATGCAGTAATTGGGCATATAAGTGCCAGTATCTAACTTGGCATAAATGTTTAATTCTCTAAACCAACTACTTAAACATCTAATCATAAAAAATATAGTTGTGAATACAGTGGGGAGACTCAGACTTTATATCTAAATACAAATATTGTACACTGGAAATTATGATTTTAATGATCCTCTTGTGCCTGTATGCATGGAGAGGTTTGCCCAGTAGAAATTTCTAATTGTTTACACTTGATCAATTTTGGTAATTGTACAAGTATATTATCAAACAAGTGCAGTAACATCATCTAGTAAAAATGGCAAAATAAACAAGTGCTGTCTTTCCTACTTATAATAGGAAAACTATATTCCTTTGAATAGATTCATGATATATTTCATACCAATGCATATTCTACTGTCATGACTTAATTCCCACTTATACTTTCCTAGCATCTAGTATTTGAGATAGCTAACACCTAAACAAATTAAAAAGCAATATAAGAAAGGCTGCTAATAAAATCCTCAATAAAAATGTGAAATATGTGCATTGTTGGATCCAGTTTTTGAACCAGAAAAGGCATTTACAGAGAGATATTGGAATTCTTTTATTTTTTGTTTCAACTAATTCAGACATTGTGAAAACCATAAAAGCATTGTGTACTTTTAATTGTTTTATATGCTTATTTCCTTCCCTAAGACTTAGTTTTGACTATATTAAAACTTAGTACAGAAGTCTTCAAAGTAGGCAGCTTTAAGATTTATGGACTTCAACTCCCAGAATTCTCCAGCCAGCAGAGCTGAACTATTCTCCAGCCAGCAGTATGCGAACTATTATACACTGAAAAATCTAATATAATTCTTGTCTTAACTATGCCATAAATCTTCCAGTTGGAACATTTGAGTTATATATTCATGTTCTCTGGAACATGTATTTTCAGACATTTTAAATGTTTTTATTTTTCTCTGAGAGAGTATATTTCTTTTTAGTAAAGTAAGAGTTTTGTAAGTTAAAACAAGCCAAAACATTAATATAATTCAATCCCTAATAAGACTTACTGTATAGAAATAATAGTTTAACAAATATATCTGAGTCAAAAACGTAAGAAGTTAGTTTGGTTTTTCCAGTAGCTAAAATTCCTCTCTACATGATCCCTTTTTCTAATCTAGTTATTTAGTTAATATCTTATGTCTCATGACGGACAAATAGTCTTGGATAGAAAGTTGGAAATAACATTATCTTTCTCAATATAAAAAAATATTTACTTTTCTTGTCAAGTTATATTACATAGATTAATACAGGTAAAATTGTGTTTTCCAAATCTGACATGCCTATGCCTTATTGCTTCTACAAGTCTGCTGTCTGAAGCTCACAACAATTTAAGGACCTTGGCACCTTATATTTTATAGCCTTGAGTTCATTGACATTGTATTATTACTAGATACCCAACAAAGGAATATGGGAATTACAGCATAATATTCTTATGAATTTTTTTTCCAAATATCCATCTTGACATGCTGCTCATGAACCAAGTTTTATTTCTTTTTAAGTTTCAGTGCCATACTTAATTTGTAATATTAATAATAATGTGTAATATGGCAATGTGTTGATGATCTTGGCGTCAGTATAGAATGTACAAGTGCCAAAATGAGTTTCCCGGAATAGTTAGAAGTAAAATACCAATTCTGTTATAAAGCTCACTATATAGTCTTGAGCCGAGCATACTCCTTGGGGTAAACTCCCTCACAGAGTTAAGATAATACTAGTCACTTCTAGCAATTTCACTTTGATTGTTGTAAATATACAGTGAAAGGGAGGAGGAACCATGTATTTATATGAAGTTGCTTGAAGCAGAGAAGAGTAACACTGAGTACAAGAGTAACACCAGCATTTTATGAATTTAAGCTACATGATGTCTAGTTGATAACAAGATTTTTCTTTCTCTTGTTTCTCTCTTCCATTTCAGCTAGGTGTACAACCTACCTTTGGCATTCTGTTTGATATTGATGGAGTATTGGTACGAGGAAGGACCCCAATTCCTGCTGCCCGAAAAGCCTTTCAAAAACTATTTAATTCTCAGGGACAACTTTTGGTGCCTGTAGTATTTGTTACTAACGCAGGAAACTGTCTGTGTCAGAAGAAAGCAGACCAGCTGTCTCATCTTCTTGAAGTTCCAGTGAGTAATTTTATTCCATCTATTGGAATGCTTGTCATTTTCTTTCTTCTCTACTGTACATGAATTGGAATTGTCGTATATTTATCTACAGCTTAGAATTTTGCCTTCAACTGATAGAGGCAGCTTCTTAAGCTTCATTACAAATCTTTCCATTTTTTTAAAATTAAAATTGTTCTACATTTTCCATTTCTTTTGGAAGCAATTTGGGGAATGAGGCTTCCAAAGCACCACAAGAGTGGCCTCCATTCTCTCGAACCTTCGGAAGCCTTACTCCCCAAATCATTGTAATTTCAGTCACTGAATAAATGGTCATAATTCAAGGGCTATCTCTACAAGAATGAAAACGGATTATCCACTTTTTCTCTCTCCTAGATTTCCAAAGACCAAGTTATGATGTCCCACAGTCCTTTGCGAATGTTCAGGCGTTACCATGACAAGTGTGTTCTTGTATCAGGACAAGGCCCGCTCCTTGACATCGCTAAGCAGTATCCTTGGAAATACTGGGTTTATTCTGCATTGGGCCGAAGATGCATGATAGGGGGATGTGCTAGAGTTAAGCATGTGGTGTGTATTGTTTTTTCTCAAGATTCAAAGATACATTTTGTAGAGAAAGCAGAAAATGTCTCCTATCAACTCCATGAATTTAGGAAATCTCAAATGGGATGATACAGAATGTAAACGGATAAGACAAACTAAATAGAGGGAGTAGATCTCCTTTGCCTCTTGATTCCTTGAATCAATTCCACTAATTCAAAATTCCTCTTTCTTTGAGCAAAGTTAAAGATTTTCAAAGCAAAGTTCCTAGAAATCAGTTTGAAGCCATTTATTAGGAACTCTCATAAATGTTTCAGATTGGAATGTACCGTAAATTATAATGAGTTAATAAGAAACTTATTATTGGACATTGTTGTACTTCTGAATAAAAATTAGCTTTTGTAAGAGTCCTAAATGTAAAGTTCTGAGTGAACCAATGAACGAAGATTGTGTTTATCTCTCTCTCTATATTGTATGTACAGTATTCTCCCAGAGGATATGGAAACATTTCCTCTACTTAGAGTATGTCTGTCACTGCCATTTCAAATGTATTATTTGGGGAATGCAAAACAAATATGTCTTTCATTAAAACATAGATGCATTGCTATCCATAACCAACATGTCATTAGTCTTGGATTTTGTCGGCCTATTACAATTGACAGGTTGCGAGAAACCTATCCCTTATTGGACATGGTGGATCATGACAGAAGACCTAAAGTTTTGGTAAGTGTACTGTACTTTATTGCTTTTTCTCTTTAATAATTCCTTTCACATTTTTACATTGTAATTACAGTTGCCTATTGGGCTGCTTGTCATGTAAATCGGGTTCCCAACCCCAGGGCCATGGACCAGTCCATGGCTTGTTAGGAATTGGGCTGTGCTGGCGGGCAAACAAGCAAAGCTTCATCTGCACATGTTCACGGTCTAGGATGTGTACGAAACTATCCAGACTGGTCCGTGAAAAAAATGTCTTCCACAAAACCAGCCCTGGTGCCAGAAAGGTTGGAGACCGCTGATATAAATGATGTTCTTTCCAAGGATGAATAAGGCTTACATTGATTCCTTTTGGTCTAGTGGTTAAGGCACAAGGTTAGAAAGCAGGAGATCATGAGTTGCAAGTTCCTCCTTAGCATGATACCCAGCTGGGTTCTTTGGCACAGTCACAACCCAACTCACCTCACAGAGAGGTGGTTGTGGGAAAATAGGAGGAGCGAGCTGTGTTGGATATGTTTACTACCTTCAGTTATTTCTAAAAAATAAAATCAAACAAATAGATTCAAAACTAGAGGATTCCGAAATTTTGGAACGGGAAGTACACTTATAATGAGTGTCACCTGGGCAATTGTGATAACCAGGCATGAAATACTGGGAGTATCACTTCTTCTAACTTTGAGCCTCACCATTCTACAAATCAAAAGAAGTAATATACTGTCTGACAAAGCTGTCTCAGACCATCTCTTCTCATAAACTCCTTTGGCCCTCTGACTCAGCACTCTATTCCAAGGCTAAATGTCTGCTGTTTCCACTCTCACCTAGATGGTGCCAGTTCCTCTTATGAACACGTAGTAGCAAAGCAGTAAGCAGAGCAATAGGTGGGCTGGATGATAGGAGAAGCAGGAACATAAAATGGACAATACCACATTGCTGTGATTCAGACTCCTTTATCTGTTCCCAACCAAACCAGAAATGCTTGAAACTCTTAACCAGTTTTGAAGATGGGGCTTGAGTGTGACAGAAAAAACAGTGACCTTTCAAGTGCTAAATACCTTCCTGAATATGTTTTAGAAAGTGGCAGTATCACTTACCTTTTCTTGTCTCGGAAAGTAAATAGTGTCAGTTTAGATTACTGATTGGGTAAGAAATGACAGAGAATTACCAGTAATGTAGTCCAGACCGGGAAGTTGAAAAACATCAGGAAGATTTAGCAACAACATCCTTTCCCTGTTGTTAAGAAAACTACACGGATACATCAATTGTCAATAGTCAACCTTGACTAAAAGAAGACTTCACTTTACCTAGTCAGATGATCTTTCATACAGTGGTATGAAAGTTATACAATAAAATAAGTATAAGTTAATATACAACTATATTCAATAAAAACAAAACATACCTTAAAATGTGCTGAGAGATATATTTCCAACATTCATACCAAGAACAGAAGGGTGTTGATGTTCTATGTTATAAATAAGTTAACTCTTTGACTTCTTGTTACCAATTCTCTTTTGTGCCAGTAGCAACATAGTGAAGGTGGGTTTTAGTTCAGATTATAGCAGAGCGTGGATAAATATTTCCTCATATGCACAAATAAAAAACAGTAATGTGGTGAAAGTCCAATTGCTCAAGTCTTATTGTTTCCTTGATGCAACATGTACTGCTAATTTGATTGTCAAAAATTACGCACTGTGTACACAAAGGATGCATTTAAAGTATCTTTCTTTGCATCATTCGTAGCATATAAAAGATTGCACTCTTTCTTCTTAGAGTTTCTCAATATTGACTGATCCTAGAACAGATTTGATAGCAGCCGAGAGAGCAACTGAGGAAACGCTACTGGTGACTAATAACACAAACGCTCGAGTATTGTAGTAGGGAAGAGGGTAAAGAAGGCAGCAGCATTGGACTGATTCAGCTTTGTTCAATTGAGTCTCTCCTGACATCTGGAGTTCAGGTCAATGTATAGTTAGCTCTCTAATTAGCTCTACAGGCTTGGTTGTTTTGCAGAAAAGAGTGGTTATGGTTTCTTATTTTGTGATGCAATTGTTTTGTTCTTTCCCTGGTAAGCACACTATGACGTAGATGTTGCTGGTACACCATTTTGCAGCAAACACACCTGCAGCTACAGAAAAGAGAAATCAGAGAAAAATAATTTAATTCAGTAGAGTGTTGAAAGTAATTGATCTGGTTAGCCAATATAGTTTAGTTCAGGTGTCCCCGTCTTTTCCCATGATTATTTAAATTCAACTTGAAAACATTGTCTTGAGGGAGGTTGGTTAAGTTTGCTTGCCAGGTAAAACAACTGAAGTTACTTTCATATGATGTTCCATAATCCCCACTCAGCCTCCTCATACTTTTGGGCTGAAAATTTTAACTGTGAAGCTGAAATTCAGCACACTTAAGTCAACGAATGTGTATGTTACAAAAACATTAAAAATAGAATACAGAAGAATGCACGAATATGGTTTTCATCATTACATCTGTGATATTGTGCTGTTGAACATAATGCAACTTCTACAGACCAAATGAGCTGCAATTGAATATGTGGAAATGACATGAAGTTAATAGTAAGGACTTCAGATGATCAAAGTCAGAAGAGTGGAGGAAGAAGCAGCTCTGGTGGCATGTTGAATTAGGCCTAAAAAGATAAGTGATATATTAGAGGGTATTCTGTGTTATAAACACAGGAGACATTTCTAAGACACATTGGCAATTATATGGACTTTTTTTACAGCAAGATTAAGGGACAAAACATTCAAGATCTAAAACAGTGGTGTACAAATTATATAAATGGGAAGTAGCTCATCTCCTTACGTTTGTGATGACAGATTTTAATTTTTTAGAGGTGCTGGGAATTTAATCAGAACATGGGCTGTGCCCATAATGTTCAGAGATTTGTTTACTTTGTTTCTTCTTTGTGCTAATAAAGGATACTTTTCTTAGTAAATGTAACTTTTTTTTTAATTTGTAGCACTTACCCACAATGGAATTCCCCAAGATTGAAGGTCAGTATGTCTAGATGTTTATGTTTAATTCTGAAATTTACTCCAAGTAAAATGGACTGCTTTGTGATAGCTCTGAAAGCATTGTGCTAATTTTTGCTAGCTGCTGTGATATATCCGAATAAGAATGTGACAGTCATCACATACAATATATACTCATTTTACAATGATACTGACAGGTTGTTCATTTTTATTCGTTTCTTTGATTTTTCTACTATCTACATTATAAATCTACCATTAATGTTAAGCTGTTAAGTTTCTAGTTCTTTACCAAACCTCAATATTACAGTTTCAATTTCATATGAGGTTTAAAAACTAATGAAAAAACTAGTAACATTTATTTATTTATTTATTTATTTATTTATTTATTTATTTATTTATTTATTTATTTATTTATTTTTGAATTTATATACCGCCCTTCTCCCCCTTCGTTGTTATTCTATGCTAATTCATGTTACAGAAGTTGTATTAAGGTTTGTAATTATATTCCACTGGCAGTTTACATTAAAAATTGGTTTTTGTACAGTTGATTTTTTTTCTTGTGTTTTTTTTCTCTATTTCTAAAAAGAAAAAGGACTGAAGTACTTTAAATACAAAGTAATTATTTTCTTTTAAATATCAGTGGACATACCAATGTAATGGTACCCCAAATGGTTTTGTGATACTTAAAAAAAAAGATTTCTGCATTTTAAGATGTGCTATTTTATTTATTTATTTATTTATTTGCTGCTAAATTTTGATGGCATGATCACAGCAGCCTTTACGGGCTGATTAAGAATAGATTCAATGATTAGATGCAGCCCAGGCCCATGGTTTGCCTATTCTTGTTATAGTGTGCATGAAAAACGGAATGGGGTGTGTTTGTTATTTTGCATTAAGAAATAGCTTACAACCACGCCCATGTAACACATTGATATTGTGCTTATCTTACAGCAGTTATTTTGTTTGGTGAGCCAGTGAGGTGGGAAACCAACTTACAATTGATAATAGATGTTCTTTTGACAAGTGGCTATCCTGGAAATCCTTATCAACGTACGTATCCACATATTCCTGTATTGGCTTGTAATATGGATTTGATGTGGGCAGCTGAAGCTCAATCCCCAAGGTAAGGCAAAGATGCTAGTTGTTCTGGAGGTATTTTTCTTTAGGTTCTAACATAGATTCTCACCCACTACCTTAGTCAAAGATGTGTGGTGTCATAATTGTTTGATTTGAGACAGAATTGATTGTTCAATGAATATATCCAAAGCTTGAATTAATATTTGGGTAGTGACAACATCTTCCCTCCAGGAGTGGGTTCTACTTACCTTTACTACCAGTTCGCAGTGGGGCCGCGCACTCTTCTGTGCATGCGCAGAAGTGTTTTGATGACGTCAGGGTCGGTGGGCGGAGCCTCCCGTCAGTTTTACTACCGGTTCTATAGAACCGGTGTAAACCGGGGGCAACCCACCACTACTTCCCTCCCATTTAAAATGCACTTATTGCTTTGTCACTTGGAACAATGTAGAAATCCATTTTATGTGTATAATGCCATTTTGGCATTTGCAATAATAACTGATGCTTGGGATACTATCCTGGTAACAGGGCCGGATTTTCCTATAGGCTAACTAGGCTTCAGCCTAGGGCCTCAAGATCAAGAGGGGCCTACATTCGAATTGTTAGCAAAATTAAAATTACACAAAATTAAAATTATAGGTGAAAGGGCCTCATAAGTGGAATAGCCTAGGGCCTCTTTTCATCTAAATCCGGCCCTGCCTGGTAAATCCTGAAAGAAGAGGCAAAAGGAGGCCTCTCATAAGAACAGCAATTCTATGGGAAGGGGCTTGGCTGGAAATACTACTTCCAGATGCATTAGAAGTATCATTGGAAACACATGAATTTTAGTTTTTAAATATGCAAGTATTCATAGAATATATATTACATTCTATGTGTGTGTTTGTGTGTGTATAAAATAGGGATGTGGTGGCTCAGTGGCTAAGATGCTGAGCTTGTTGATCAAAAGGTCAGCAATTCAGCGGTTCGAATTCCTAGTGCCGCATAATGGGATGAGATCCCGTTACTTGTCCCAGCTTCTGCCAACCTAGCAGTTTGAAAGCATATAAAAAATACAAGTAGAAAAATAGGGACCACCTTTGGTGGGAAGATAACAGTGTTCTGTGCACATTTGGTGTTTAGTCATGGCAGCCACATGACCACAAAGACGTCTTCGGACAGCGTCAGCTCTTCGGCTATGAAACTGAGATGAGCACCACCCCCTAGAGTCGGGAACGTCTAGCACATATGTGCGAGGGGAATCTTTACCTTTACTATATATAAAATAAACTTTATTTTTTATTTATAGTAAATTAATAGCTCAGTTTGTCAAACCTAATTGAATTGCCAGACTACTGTTGTAGTAGTTGACTGCTACTACATATACTATATGTAACTTTTGCTTCTGAGTTAATGTCTTTCTCTCTTGAAATTAAACTGTTATTTTGCTCTGATTCTAACCATAGCGGGTTTTTTTTTTTGGTGGTTCTTCCAAAAGCATCAGGATAGTATTCTCACAGTAAACTTAATTAATTCAGCCGTGTAAATGTTTTGTGAAGCTTATCTTGCCCAGATTGTTTTTTTTTTTCTACACCATTAAAATGTTTTGGCATGTTTCTTCAACTTTTAAGTAACTGCCAAGAATTATGTAGGCAGAAGAAAAAGTGAGTCAAAGCAATCTTGCCTTATAATTCACAGCAGAGAAGCTAAGGATTTGGATAAATAGTATATATAAAATTCTTCCTTTTAATGTAATACATTGCTTTTATCCTAGCCAGCGATAGAACTATTGACCAAATTTTATTTCTGTGTTTCAGGTTTGGGCATGGAACGTTTATGGTTTGTTTGGAAAATATTTATAAGAAGATCACTGGCAAAGAATTGAAATATGAAGCATTGATGGGAAAGCCTAGTGAAGTGACTTATCACTATGCAGAGTACCTCATTAGGACTCAGGCATCTGCAAAGCAGTGGAAGAGCCCTATTCAAACGTTGTATGCCATTGGGTAGGAGATTTCTTTTCTTCCCTCTCATTTGCTATCCCCCCCCCCCAAAAAAGTTAAATTTCTGGCTAGCTATTGTTCCAAGTTAAATGGAGGTAGACAATTGAAAAGAGTATATAGATTGCCCTCTGAAAATATGTTGATCTCTAATGTAATTGTTTTGCAGGGTGCCACTCTTGCTGAGGCAGGTTAGACAGAAAATCAATAATAAAATCTGTCCTGTACTTCTACATATCACTACCCAATCTGCCAATTAATTTGAAACCCTCTTTTAAGATCTTGCTGCCTCTAGCAAAGATCTTGCTCATGTGTGCTTAAGTGTTACAGTCATGTTTTCTTAATGGAATTGATTGGTCCTCAGCATCAGCTAAGATTGTCTTGTAGTTCATGGATGTCATGCTTGAGATTTCAGTTCAAACACTACAGATTTCACTTTGGAAGAGCTATATGAGAGAACTTTTGAATAATTGGTTACTTGTGTAATTGTACAGTAGCAGCTAAGCTTCAAATTGATTTTGAAAGTAATTCCATTGCAAGATAATCCTGCCTATTGTAAAATGAGACTGTTTAGCATGAAATGCCATTGCATGGCTGCCAATAAAAAGGCAGCCTAGGAGTGCTAAAATGATCCAGCAGCTTCCTTTATCTTCTATTTCTGAATCCCGGCAGGATAAATTAAAAAGCTTGCCCTGTGCCTTACCCTGCTTGTGCATTTCAGATTGTATTCATGCTTGTGGGAAACAGGTTTTTAAAAACCCTTTTCAATTGAAAGTTAAAATTCTGATATGTCATATTTTTAAATCTAGTTGTCATCTGTAACTTTTGGCAGTCCGGAGTGTATCAATTTGATATTGGGATATGCATGAAATGGTTGCACTGTGAGAACACTTGTGAGGCTGTAACATGCTCACCTTCAAAATAATGTTTTTTGCTTGCATTGAACTATAATTTCTGTCATCCCACACTGAGGAAATTGGAAGATGACCTCATAGACATTCCACTGGCAACATATTAGAAAAGATTAGGTTCACACTTGCAACCTTAAAAAATGCACAAGTTTTAAAAATGTATTATTTTAAATACTTAAAATAATACAGGCAATTCTCAGTTAACTACCCTTCGTTCAGCAACCAGTCAAAGTTGTGACGGAGGCTTATAACCAGTCCTCAGTGTTCCAGCCATCACAGCACCCACAGCCACATGATTGCTATTATAATGCTTGGCAACCAGCTCACACTTATGACACTTGCAGCATCACACTCATGTGACTGCAGTCATCTGATCACCATCTGCAACCTTCCCTATTAGCTTCCCACAAGCAAAGTCAATGAGAAGCTGACACGGAAAAGCACAAATTGCTCCTTTAAATCAATTCTGCCACTTTTTCTCCCGAGGAACCTGCTACGCCAAGAGCTGTGGTGACACAGTGGTTAGAATGCAGTACTGCAGGCTACTTGTGCTGACTGCCTGCAATTTGGCAGTTCGAATCTCACCTGCTCAAGGTTGACTCAGCCTTCCATCCTTCCAAGGTTGGTAAAATGAGGGCCCAGATTGCTGGGGGCAATAGACTGACAACATCCCCCTACCTACATTCCCAATTACTTCCTCTGCCCACATTCCCAATTACAGTCCCAATTACTATCATTATCCAAGGACTATCTATACTCTTTAAATATTCCATTAAACTTTATTTGTCCAAAAGAATAAGAAGCTCAGTGCAATACCATGCAGGATTTGAGTTTACAAAATTGCTGGATTAGGAGTAAAATTCCCGCAAAGGGAGCTTTGATACATATAGTTTCCCATGAAAAGGGGATACCACATTATGCAAAGAGTAGTCTATGTCTCATTCCAAGCACCTCTCCAAATTCTAACTGGGTGTAGACAAATGACTGAAATTGAATTTTTTTTATTTTTTATTTTATTTATTTGTCGAGTACATATTAGATAATATATATAAGTATAAGCATGAATTGAATACATAAAATGTATACAATTAAAGGGAACATTAGGATAGCGATGGTAGGTACGCTGGTGCTCTTATGCACGCCCCTTACAGACCTCTTAGGAATGGGGTGAAGTCAACAGTAGCCAGTAAGGTTAAAATTATGGTGGGTTTGGGATGAAACCAGAGAGTCAGGAAGTGCATTCCAGGCATTGAGCACTCTGTTGCTGAAGTCATATTTTCTGCAATCGAGTTTGGAGCGGCTCACTTTTAAGTTTGTATCTATTGTGTGCTTATGTATTGTTGTGGTTGAAGCTGAAGTAGTCATTGACAGGTAGGACATTGTAGCAGATGATTTTATGAGCTATGCTTAGGTCATACTGAAGGCGGCGTAGTTCTAAATTTTCTAAGCCCAAAATTTCAAGTCTGGTGGCATAAAGTATTTTTTTGCAAGCAGAGGAGTGGAGGACTCTTCTTGTGAAATATTTCTGGACATGTTCAATTTTGATAAAATGAACTCTCTTACCCTAATAATTATACATATACCATCTATATTTTTGTTCTGATGGAATTTTCCTGTGTTTCTAGGGACAACCTGATGACAGATATTTATGGTGCTAATCTTTACAACCGCTACCTTGAAGAGAGGATCTCAAGAAGTTCTAAGGCTCATGTCCAGGCCAAAGCCCTCGGGGGCACAAGATCTGCCACCGTTTCTCAGGAAGAGGAGCTTGAGAATTCTTGGGAAAATGAACTTGCATCAGCTACTGCCACAAGATGTACGTCTGTTCTTGTTTGCACCGGAGTTTATAACCCTCACACAGAGGTGCCTTCTGATACAAGGGAGAACATCACTGAGACTGTCTTTCACGGACACAGAGATTTCAGATTTGATCCTGCTTTAGTAGAACCAAACCATGTAGTGTCAGATGTTGAAGCTGCTGTTGATCTTATCTTCCAACTGGAAAATTTTGCACCACATGAAAACTGCAGGACTTTCTAATGACTTTGTGATGCTGTTATATTCCTTTTCCTTCTGAAAAACTAAGAGGGGTACTTAATATCAAACAGTCTCTAACATACTAATGTTTTTATAAGTAACATTTTTAGTACATTTCTTTAAAAAAAACCCAGAACCCCATATATTTCTTTTCTGCGTCAATTTATTTTAATGACCAAAACTGTTATGAATTGTACTTTTTAATGAATTTTCTTCTAAATATTGACTCCTGGTTCAGAGATCCCAGTTTCCAGATTTGATTATTAATGTCAAACAGGTGTGTTTGGCAATCAAAATTCTAAAACAAGTACACTATTAAACTCCACACATTGCACTTAATTCCCAAGGAATTAAAATGTGCCTGTCTGTAGTATCCAACTTTTTCTTTATTTCATTACCTTCCCTTGGATCAATGCTCTGTGTGAACCACAAAAGCTGAATGCTGATGCTTTTCTTTTGTATTCAATTTGAGATTGAATGACAGAATTCATACGTGAACAGAAGGGCTTTCCCGAGGTAGGTATATGCAGAATTCATTAAAATGAATGGGGTTTGTAGGATAGCAAATACAATTTTGCTCAAATCCCACTTTGAATAAGCTGCCTAAAGTTGCTTCTGTCAGACTTTGCCCTTTGGGTTTTATTATTAATCGCTCTGGTGTTTTTGCTGTACTGAACAGCAGGATTAAACAGTTCCTTGAGCTTTTAGTTTTAACTTGAAACTCCACAAGTGCGACCAGGTACTGATAAGATAATGTTTTCTCTTCCTTCTGCTACTAAATGTTACATACTTAATTTTTAAGGACTATATATCTCATAAATGTAAACACTACATTTTATGTCTTATTCTTTGAAACTTTGTTAACTGCAGCAGTCTGTCCAGTAAAATATTTTCTATTTTAGAAAGCACAAATTTTTGTTCAGCGTTCTAATCCCTCTTTAAAGTCGTTTCAGTTGGCAGCTATCCGTTATCTCTAATTTCTTCATTTTGCTCTTGGGACAATTAAAGTTCCTGTACGTATTTTCTTATCCTGTTTAGTTTTTGTTATGAATCTGTAGCAAGGAATTTTATCAAAGCTTTGATAGTGCAAGCACGTATTCTCTTTTCACCCAAACGTTTTTAGATGTGTCACTCTTAATAAATTCTAATAGGAAATCCTGCTAATTCCTTTTCTGCCTTTTTTTTCCTTCTGCACATTTTCCATCAGTTTATTTAGAACGTGGCCTCCATCCCTATAATTTCTTTGCTTCCACACTTCAAATCTTGTTTATTGTTAAAATGGCCTTTGTCCACTTATTAAATATGAAGGACAAACACACAACTAATTCAATATTTTTGTTACAGCAGTCATTTACTCTTTCATGCAAATCTTTATTTGCCCAGGAGGTTTTGAATATCATCAGTATTTAATCAATTTATACATTGGTTTGCATAGCAAGAAATATAACTTTTTCGGAAATCCCCTACTGAAGATTTGTGTTTTGCTAAGAACACAGATGCAAAGAATGTCATTTGGACTTCATGTTTCTCTCCTCCTTCACACATTCATCTAATCTATTTCAGACACCACCACCCTAATTTTCTGGGGATTTTAAGGCATACATGGAGCGCTCTCTGTATGCTTTTTAGATTAGTTTCTTCCTTTTTCAGTTTCAGGTCCTTTTTGTTTCACTTGGGTAAGACTTGGTGATAGTTTTCCTGACCTGCAGTGTATATACTATCTGAATTTCAAACTTTGCAGTATGGAAAATGCTCAGGCATTCTGGAGAAACTGAACTTTCAATTTTTGTTTTAACCTTTCTTGACCCTTTTTTCATTTTTTTTTTTAAACGGAGAAATGCTTATATATGGCTAATTTTTTCAAAATATTTTAAAAAAAGAAAATTCAGTGTTTTAATTGGCAGTCGAAATTATTACTGCTGGACAGCCTCCATATTAGCAACCTTATGAAAGGTATTATGTTCTCCAAAAAAGCAACCAGGTCTGCTGCAGACTACTGCCACAAACTATTGCATTAAGCACTAGCATGTTCACATGACTACAAGGAAGAGATTATTTAATCACTGGTCAATCATTACTGTTCTGATGATTAATCTTTACAAAACTCTGAGTCTATGGAGTCCTAGACTAAGTAAAGCTATTGGACAAAAATTGATCTGAATAAACTTCGTTCCAGTTCAACACTCACCTCTTAAATGCAATCTGTTTTACCTAACTCTAAACTCCCAGAATTTTCAGAAATTGGCATGCTGATTTGGAAGATCTGGGATTTGGAAATAGTGGTATACAGAAGAGACAGAGATGGCATCTTGTGTGCAGGAGTATAGAACTAGTCAAGTGGAGAACCTGATGGTATCAGATGTCAAAGAAGTAAGACTGGTGGTTTAAACAACCATATTTTAAAAAAACTGGATGGGTGCAAACCTTGATGGATACAGAGTTAAGAAATAAAAACAGTGAGCAATCACAGGCTATATACATAACAGTACATCTAGAGGGAATAGAAAAGCTCTGGACCTTCAGAACTTCTAAGACCAAATAAGATTGATGAGGGATGATGAAGATGATGACGAACAAAAAAAGGAAGAGAAGGAAGTCCAACCTGAATGTAGCTGAGTTTGCTACCCTCCTGTATTTGTTAGTTGGCACTTGACTCTACCACATACTTGGATAATCAAGTGCCTAGAAATAACTGGAAGCAGCAGGCACATCAGAGGCTTTGTACAAAGTGTCAGGGTTTCAACCGATGCCCTAAATAAATCATGAGCCTCGAGCCAAGCTTCAAAAGTAAATCCAGTTATTTATTAGGAGCTTCATGTTGGCACAATCCAAGTTAAGCCAACTCTGACCCAACGTAATCTATGTTCCAATTCTGACCCCGTTTCCCCCCCCCCAAGGTGTGTCATCAGTCACAGTCCCCAACAAAGCAATTTTGCGGGTTGTAAAAATCATTCCCTTCCAGCCACTGTGGGTAATCGTGGAGATGGCCTTGACAGAGAGATGGCTGGAGTGTGCTTTTGTTTTGACTGACGTGCTGCCTTGCCGCAGCTGCAGAGTTCATTTTTCCATCCCCCTTTCTTATGGTAACTCGAGAGCAGGCCAGGGATGCTTTGCGAGTTGACACAAAGATCAGTGGAAGAATGGAAGACACACTTGCTGGTCGATAGTCTGGAAGAGGTTAACATCAAGAGAGGAATCTCTTAAGACTTTCGCTACTACTGTTTGTTGTTGCATTGATTCCTCTATCAACAGTGCTGAACAAGTCATTGGTCACAAATCCAGCTCTGTGAGCCTCATATTTATGATTAAATTTGGTGTGAAACATTAAAAGTGAGAGAAAGAAGCCTACCTCCTACCATATATAGGACCAGGATTTTTATTCAACAAACACTTTTCAAGGTGTTTACCCTTCTTTTTGAATGAACAAGGTAAATGGATTTTTTCTCTTGAACCAACAAGATAATTTAAGAAAATGAGTAACTTTATTCCTTGGAAAAGCATTGAAGAACAGTAGCTATCCTGATGTCTACTGCATGTTCTTACAGACTACAGCAATTCCTGAATCAGTCTGTGATCTGAACTAAAAGCCAAAAATGAACCAAAACCCCAAACTTCAAGGGATAACTGATGCCCAATTATAATAATGGTTATATAGTGATTTAGAATTTAATATATTTAATGCGGCTTACATAGACGCACAGTGACTATGTATAAAATGAGAAATTTTTTGAAGGGGAGGTGTTTACATTTACCTTTTGAGTAGACAATGACTATAGAAGTTGGGAAATGACACAATGTTCTATTTTTTTTTTTAAAAAGGGATTTTAACAGAATTAAGCATATTTTATAGTCCTTAGGGTTTATCACAAGTAAACAGGAACAAACGGGCTACTTCCAGTAGCTTTTTTCTAGTCTTGCAAGCATATTTTTAAACTTTTTAGAAATTAACCAAATTCAAAAAGAAAAATACACAAAATTGTAAAACAATGATTGGAAACTTATCAAAGAGAGAAGCAACCTGGAATTAAGGAGAAACTTCCTAACAGTGAGGACAATTAACCAGTAGAACAGCTTGCCTTCAGAAATCGTGGATGCTCCATCACTGGAGATTTTTAAGAAGAAACTAGACAACCACTTATCTGAAACAGTATAGGTTCTCTTGCTTGGGCAGGGGGCTGGAGTAGAAGACCTCCAAGATCCCATCCAGTTCTATTCTATAATTCTAAACTTGCAAGCATGATTCCATCATTACTTGCATCCTTTCCAGGAAAATGGTGACAAGCATAGCAAAACTTTATACAGGTTGTTGAAGAACATAGTGTCTTATAGTCATGGTAGCAATATGGAATCCACACAATTGTCACTAAATATTAAGGGCTCAGTGGTGAAGAGACCGACTGCCAGTAAGCTACTTTAGCAAGTAGCAAGTGAGAGATCAGATTTATCATTATAATCAGAAGCATTGATTGAATGCTTGGACTTTTTAAAAACAATGCTTTTATATTAGAATCTTGCTTTTAGTGTGCCTGAGTGTATTACATTGATTGATTAAGGGCCATGAGGATGGTGTTGATCATTAGAAGTGGTAGATTCTTTATAGGATGATCTGTCTTCCCTCAGCCTTTTGGACTTCTCTGTGGGGTACTCATTGCTCTCATAATTGAATCCATCCTTCTTGCTCTAGTCCTCTTCATTCCATTCTTCCAAGCATTATAGATTTTTCAAGGAACTGGGTTTCCACATAGTGTAACTGAACCCAGCTGTAAATAGTTGTCAAGAACAGCACACATTGTACACTGAGAGTATATACACCAAAACAAATTCCTTGTGTTTCCAATCACACTTGGCCAATAAAAAATTCTATTCTATTCTATTCTATTCTATTCTTCGTCAGCTCGTTTTCTAAGGTTTGAGATTCAACTACTGCTATAAAAAGAAATTGACCCACAATGTCAGATTCATTAAGTACAAACATATATGTTTGGAGACATTCCTCCCCACCTTCTGAGCTCCTGAAAGCTATCCTGGTTGCTAAAAGTCTGTAGAGATTCTCAGTCATCCAGGTCATGGTTGTCCCAAATGTACTTTTTCAGGAGGCAACTAGACTTTGTTTTTTCTTTTGAAGACGGTTCGCTTTTCATCCAAGAAACCTCTTCAACTCTGACAGGATAGTGGGATAGATAGATCCTTCATTCCCCACTATCCTGTCAGAGCTGAAGAGGCTTCTTGGTTGAGAATTGAACCGTCTTCAAAAGAAAAAATAAGAAAGTCCAGTTGCCTCCTGAAAAAGCACCTTTGGGACTCTCCTGATTGCATTACTGAATTTAAAGTTGTAACTGTTGAAAACTGGCAGCAATTTTCCAATATGATAAGAAAGGACCTGTACAAAGACTGCATATCATAAATTGTAGAATAGTTTTGATTATATGCCATCCAGTTGGTATTGACTCTTAGTGACTAAATAGATTTAGTGATTAAATAGATTTTCTCCGGGGGGGGGGGGGGGCACTCAATTTGATTCTTCCAGTCTTTCAACTGTGCACTGATTGCTGTTACAATTGAGTCCAGCCACCTTGTTGCTGCCATCCTTTTTCTCTTCTCTGTTATAGACTCCTGCAGAAAGCTACATTTTTGCACAATATGTCCAAAGTGTGATTTGTGTCATTTGTGCCTCAAATACGTTCTCTGGGTTGATCTGCTTGATGAGTCATTTATTTTTTTAGCTATGCATGGGATTGTCAGGAGTCTTTTCCAATACCAAAGTTCAAAAATGTCAATATTAATTCTACCCTCTTTCTTCAAAGTCTTACCTTTGCATCTATAGAATGTCACAAGGAAAACCACTGCCTGTATCATTCTGAACTTTATAATATAGACACCTCATGAACAGCTTTTCCAAGGCCTTCATTGATACTCAACCAAGTGCTAGTCCATGGCGTATTTCTTGACTGCTGGTTCCTTTACTGCTGAAAATCGCATTACTACTGTTAAAACAAAGCATAAAAGTGCTGTACAAAATATGGCTTCTGCCTGCCTCCAAATTATTAAATATTAAGTGCAGATCTCAGCTGTGATCCTTGGCTGAGTATAATGTGTGAAGACAGTAATTACTGCTGCAATCAGCTGGAAAGTGATGAAGGTATTTATTACTGTGGCCATTGCTTGATCCATCCTCTTTCCCAATGGACAGAAGAGTTTTTTTTGGGGGGGGGAGGGTTTGGGGGTGGAATTCACATAATTCTTTTGATTTCACTATTTATTTGCTTTGCTGACTGAACTGAATAACGTGAGGTGGCAGTTAATTAAGAAACACACAGTGTAATAGCCAAATGCTCATTTTAATTATAGACAGTACAATGTATTTGCTACAGATTTTGCTATATTTTACCAAAAAAAGTAATTTCATAGTTTTTAAAAATAAACTTTTTTTAATAAATCCATAAATAGGTGCCAATAAAATGTCAACATTGATACTCTGTTCCCTTGTTATCTTGTTTTCACCTCTTCTAGTAAACTCTATGTAAGGGAAAACAAGACAGACGGGCCTCTATGTCTGTTCCCAGAAGCCTTATTACAAGCAATAAAACTGTTTTCAAAAAATGGAGAACAATAACATCAGAATTCTTCAAACCCTTTGGAAATGAAGTAGTGAATTCAATATGAATTGGTGCTTTATCTTACTAAGTGTATGAACCAGCTAGTAGAAAAGCTGCCTGTCCTTAGGACAAGAGATTTTAAAAGTCAGGCTATACCAGTTAGTTAGGCACAATTACTGCACAGAGCATATGACGAACCTTTGTTAGCCCATACCACTAAAAGATTTGTCTAAAAAACAGCCCTCACTTCAAAAATTGTGCAGGTGCTCTATCAGATTTCAGACAATGCTATATTTACCGACACAAATCTCTACCATTACAACCCAGCCTAGAAATACTTGCACCTGTCCTATTATACCTTCCACAGATTCTGCCATTGGGTTATAGCTAAACTTAAAAGCAATGAGGTGATAATGCACACATAAATGCTGAAATCTTATTCTTAGTAAAACAACCAACATCAACATGTTTCCAAATCATATTTTCAAAACTAGGAAAGCAATTTAGAAAGGCAGAGTATTTCAGAGCAGAGAGACGGCAAGATAAGAGCAAACCAATTACTTTCTTCCTCTCCTTTATCACTCATAGGTTCTGATAACATTAGAAGTCATTTTAGCCAGGATATGTAAACTAGGGATGCTATTAGGATTGCCTCCGTCATGCCAGTATTTTTATTTTAAACATGCATAATACCAATCTTAAGGAACTTGTACCTTATTGATCATGGCAGAAATCAGTCAATTGCAAATAATGTGTCCAATCTTTGTTAAACTCGGGCAATGTGTGTAGCTATACAAAAAATGTATATTTTACATCTGGCCTTTCACTTTTAGGCAGAACCATTTCTAAGGCACAAACTCCCTATTTAAAATAAAGCTCACTCAATTTCTCCACTGATCACAATTTTGCATTTTTGAATTATATACACTATGTTGGCCAGATTTAAAAAATGTCAACTGTCTATATATCCTATCCCTAATTGAGAGAAAGATGTGTCCTCTCGTGTCTGAGAGTGGATGGAGGTATGTATTTTATCTGCACTGCAACATCAGTATCAGCTTTGAACATTCATCTCTATGAAGATGCACATTTGATCATGGAATTCTCCATGTAGCTCCTGATTCAACAAATAAATCTGTGAAAGAAGGTTTGATCTAGCCCATGCATCTAATTGATGGAATTTAGGATAGGTGATGACTGTTTATTAACTGAAACAAGAAACCTAATAATTTGAGAACTTGAGAAAATAGGCAGATCTTAAAAACCCAAGATGACTCAAACATTATTTTTGGGAGAAGAAATAGGACGAGCTTCTCTATACTTTATTCAGCACAATTCAAATACCTGAAAATCCCATGTTAAATTTTTAGTGCAGCCATTTGCTATAATTGATATAACAAAAGCATGCCTGTGAATTATACATGCACTTTATTTCCCAAAATGGAATGAAAAGGAGGTAAGTTACGATCTAATAAGCATTTTATGTAACCATAAATATTTCAGATTGCCTCACTATTTATGATACCCTGAAAATGTCTATACTAGCTATACAGATAAATTGGAATTTAGGTTTTCAAGCACCATGAGGCAGGCAGATATATTCTTATACTTTGTTATATTCACAAAAAAGTCAAATGATTTACAAAGGAACTGATCTTCAAGTCTGAAACTCAGAAAAAAGGATGATGTCACTTTCCTGATTATGTAAGCTAGAAATCAATCCACAGAACTAATGCCATTATCATAACTGGGTCAGAGAATCCAAGGGTGGAGTAGGGAAATTGACGGGAGGCAGCCATAAATTCTGCTGTTGCTTAGTTTTAAAAGGAAAAGACTTCAGAGAAAGAGGTGCATAATGTGACTATATTTACATTTTAAAATATTTATCAAAGATGTGAAAAGACATTATATATTAGAAAGGGGAAATAGGACAAAGTTCTTTCTTTTTCCTTGCTCCATGAGAAGCATACAATTTCAACGTTTTACAGATGTGCAAAGAGATGTGCAAAGTCTCTTCTGTTCTACATGCTTATATGTAATATAAAAACTGAGATTGTATAATTGGTTGTTTGTAGATTAGATAATCTGCTATGCCATCTGATACTCTCTTTTAACCTGTTGCGGTAGTGATATTGCAGATATAACTAGACATATGTGCTTATGTACTTCTGACATTTCCTGATTCCAGACATTTTCTAAAGCCCAAAGGGAAGGGGCTAAATGAAATACATTTTTCAAATTTCAACATTTTTGCACAGACTATGAATTAAAATAAACGTTGTACTGTATTGAAAATAAATACATAAAGCAGACATCTTTTTTAAAATGCAGTTTTTTAAAAATTAATTGAAATTTTAATATTTTTATAAATGAGTTATCTTCCATAAAACAAAAAACCCAATACTAGTTAATTGTATTTTTTTTTCTGCATTGCCAAGTCTAAATGTCATCCTATAAACAATTCAATTAAGAGTTAAGTGCATATTTTCTGTAATATACATTTTCTTCTAACCTCATGATGGTGGTAGCAAGGGTGTATTCCAAAGAGGGTGAGTGAAGAACATTGGGGGTGCATGCCAAGACCAGATACTCCCAGCAGAGTAATTCAAGGCATGAAGGCCACCCAACTGTTCAGCTAGTTAGAGAAGGCACCTATATCAAGCAACAGTGATATAGGAAGATATATCATCCACTGGAGGTGGATGATCACTTTAGTGCCAAGAGCAAAACCAGTTTCACAGTGCACAAGAGAAAGCAATGGTAAACAAATCTTGTACTTTACCAAGGAAGCCATATGGATAGACAATGTAAAGTGCTGAGTGATGGTGGACCCCTTAGATTGGATGGCATTCAACATATTACTGAGAAAGAGCTTCTTTAGCAGTACTAATGTTTAATGGTATTTATGAAAAAATTAAAGTCTTTGGGGCATCTATTTGTAGGTGCTTCTGTGCAGAAAGAGAATAGGAATAATGGAATAACGGTAGGAATAATGGAAATAAGCATGAACACAGGAAAACTCAACATAGTGGAAAATGAAATCAATCAATTATATATATATATATATATATATATATATATATATATATATATATATACACATATACATATACATATACATATACATATACATATATATATATATATTTCTCTTAGGCATCAGCAAATTAAGATGGACTGCAACTGGACAGTTTTTCAGTCAGTTACTTAGGTACAATGTAGTTAATGACCAAATAGTATCGGTCAGATTTATAGACAACCCTTTTAAAATGACCTCCAAATTATACTCCAATCACTAATGCAAAACAGGAGGGGGGTGGATGGATGTTATAGTCAAGTCCAACTGTTCAATCAATAGAATATACAAGCAAAATGTATCAGTTGTGGCTGGAAACTAAGATGCCAAAGCTGGAAATAGTAAAGCAGAAAATGTAGTTGTTCTATACGACCTAGAAAACTGAATGAGGCAAAAGAATGACTTATCAGTCAACCCAATGATTTATTTATTGCTTACATGCTCTTCAAAACACCAACGGAGGAAAGCTACTGTCAGAATGCACGCTGGAAATTGCCAAAAAGGGAAGAGAAGCCAAAGCCAAGAAATCCAAATTTTCAGGAACACAACAAAGATGTCTATGGAGATTCTGTCATCCAGGTTCATGGTTGTCTCAGAGGTGTTTTTGCAACTGGGCTTTCTTTGTTTATCCTTGAAGATGTTTCACTTCTCATTCAGTGAACTGAAGCAGCTTTTTGGATGAGAAAAGAAACGTCTTCAAGGAAAAACAAAGGAAGCCAAGTTATCTTTTGAAAAAGCACCTTTGGGACAACTTAACAAAGAATTTCAGAGAACCATTCAAAGAGATGAAGAGTAGTTTTACAAAGATATTGGTAAAGATACCGAAGCTGGAAGTTGAGAAATCCAACAAATACCAAAACAAAATAAACATGTTTATTTACATGACGAAAAGACTGAGATCTCTTGAAAATCCATAATGATGGTAAAGGTGAAAGGAACAAAAAGACAGATGATGGCAAGATGAATTGACTCAGGAAGAGTTGCAGAGTTGGAAGTCCTGAAAGGCCAGATTGGAGACCTAGAGAAGATCTATCCATTTGGTCACAAAGAGTCAACACCAATTGAATGGGGCACGTAATCTGCCAATCAATCATAGAATATTGAAAATGAAAGCATTAATTATAAATAACATTTAAAATCTGGACCAACCTGGGTATAAACTATATAATTTCCAATTCTCTCAGCAGTTGTGTTAAAGAATTTCCCTAGTATTCAGATTGTTAGAAACTTTTTACAAATTTTAAAGCCATAAATTGTGACTGCACATTTCTATCATAAGACTTCAACGGTATTACTTTGGAAAAGCTGGAATCAATTTTAGACATAATTTAGTGTATTTTATTTTTCAAACTGTCACAAAAAACAGTCTGTTCTAAACCGCATGATACATATGTAATACTATCAATTACAATTGTATTTCTGTAGCATATGCCCCTGCATTTTATGCAAAAAAAAAATAGACCATAAAATTTGCTAATTGTGTAAGAAAAGTAGTTCATCTGAAATGTTTAAAAATCTGAAAATGGTTTTCAGTAAAACAGTTAGGCATTTAATATCTCAAACTGACTCTGGCACGTTTCATGTGCTTCATTTTATGTACCTGAAACCTCCATATTATTTTATGCTAGAGAATGCCAGATAAATATAAATCCATGGAATGTGACTATGTGTGTGCGCATGCGCGCCCCTATGTGTTTGTGTGTGCCTGTGTATTTGGAATGTAAATAGGTAGTATTTATATCAGAACAGACAAGAGTAACAGTGTTACTCTTAATTTGCTATTGTTTTATAGTATTACATTAAAAACAGATTTAGACAAAATAATGAATTTTTATAAACATAATTAATTCTACAGATCATTTACATTATGGTTAAAGGCTAATAATTTTAGCATTACTGGAACAGTCAAAAAGTGATCAACAGCACATAAAGGTGCTGTGAAGAGCCCTGAGTCTTTAAAGAAACAGGCATGGAGTTTAAATTCATATTTTTGCTGCAAGTAAATAAATGTTTCCCATTCCTTATGAAATACAGCTATTTTTATATTTTACTGAAAAAATCCATTTGAAATAATGACTCTTTTCCAAACAGGTTTCTCCATGCTATACTTCCATTCTATTCAAAAAACTAAAGAAAAACAATGCTGTTGACTGAATTCTTCCTGCTGATAATGGGGTCACTAAATATTTTGACAATTTCGTCTTTTAAAATTTAGGTTCAAACTACTAGCTCAGATAGGTTCATTCTTCAGTATTTCCACTGAAGATACCCACAAAGCTGTTGCACAGTACACTACTTAAGTTCTTATTTGTCATTGCATAAGGATGGTTGTCTTTTTTCTTCTACCTTTCCCAGGAGAAGATTGTAATGAATCCATATGTATTGCCTTACTACTTGGAAAGGCATCCTATTCAACTCCTCATACAAAGAAGGGCCCAGAAGATTAATTTTTAATTGGAATTTGCAACAGCAATATCATTGCCACCTTTCTCCCAAAAATCTGCAAAATACAGAAAAGTTTGCAGGGACCCAGACAATCTTGCACTATTCTGTTTTCAATTTGTAAGTTTACCAGAAATTCAACAGAAGTAATACAAGAGAGATTTGTAACGTTCTCTAAAATCTGGTCTTTAATTTTCTTGTCCTTGCAATGAATAATTGAAGCAAGAGCTAGTCTTTGTACAATAATTACTGAAGTGCAGTATGTATGGAGAAAGAAACCGGTAAACCATATCAATACTATGCAACCCCATCGTAACAGCTCATAAAAATCAATTTGAGCAAAGCTGTTGCTTTCCAATCTGGGAATAAATAAATAAGCAGTTTACATCACATTATAAAACACTAAAGAATCTTAGATGCTAAAATGTGTATTAGCAATATGAAGCAGCAAGTTAATTCTGAAGCAACTGTGTGCTCTCAATTACTTTTGGGAATGTATACCGAACTATAGCCCTACAAAACCAGTATGAAAGGCGTCTGCTCACATAACACTTGAACATTTTTATATAAATAATGTAACAACCCCCTCAAAAGATGTCTATTCACAGAATCCTTTTTAAAAAAAAACATTATTGGCACACCGTTATATCAGATTGGCCTGAAATACAGTAGCATCAATTCCTTAGATCACTGCTAGGCCGAGATCTTTGCAGCCCTTGGCAAGCAAAGCTTTTCTCCCTTTCTGCCACAGTGAAGAAAGAACTCGCCATTTCTAAACCATCATTTCCATTAAATTGTCTACCTAAGGCTGAATTCCTTCCCACCTGGAGTCAGACTGATACTAAACTACTAAGTGCAGGATTCACCAAATGAACATATGGTTATATCATCACAAATATTGGTCAGTTTGCATTTCCCTCTTTGGTTAATCGCTCAGTTTTTGTCAAAATATATATTAGTTTTGTGGATTCTTTTTTATACTTTCTGATGATCTTGCTATGCTGAAACCCCACAGGCCTCCCCCTTCCGGGAAATAAATATTCTTAAGAATGATGAATGATGTCAAATTTTATGCTGCATTTTATTTTAAAAGAAACTGATTTAAATTTGTTTTGATGTTTTAATCACTGGAAATAGAGCTGATATAGTTCTTTCATCTTTGTTTTATTTACCGACTTCGGTATACTCTCTCATTTAACTCTTGGAAAATCAAACTTGTCCTTCTACATATACATAAGAGATGCAGGGAGTATTCTCTAACTGTTCTGTTTAATCATACAGAAATGATTAAAACGTAGCACCCATCAAATTCCTTGTGCAGGATTTTGCCAAAACCTCAGCCTTTTGGAAAGGGGTTACCTATGGCTTGAAAAGTGTACAGATGCCTGATATAAAAGCTACTTTATAAGGAGATGAATTTAGGATCTGTGCTTGGTTCAATCAATCATGCATGCTAAGACTATTCAGTTTCATTTTTTTTTCTTTCATTTTCATGGACTCAGCTGAAGAAACTGAAATTATATAATATTAATTCTTAAGTATTGGATTCAAAGTACAAAATCAACCATTTCTGTTTAATGCCAATGTTCTGTTAGTAGTCATTGTTAGTTACTGCTTAGGAATCAAAGGCTGAATACAATAAACCTGAAGAAATCTGGTATAAAATAGAATTTAGAAGCAGCATCTCTCAGGCGTTATCTCTTTTCTATGGAAACATAATTATAAAACTACATCTAACTGAAATTAAGGCCCCTTTCTTCTACACCTTACAAAACATTCAACTTTAAAGCTACTATTCTGAAATTACAATAAAAACATTCCTCAGGATAATCACTGGAATCAAAATTCGAGTATTAAGGTAAATAACACAGCCAGACAACTTTATACTGCAAAAATTAAAACAGGTTCAAATGTTTTAACTTTCTATATTGATCTTCTACAAAAGCAATCTCTCAAACTAGTGTTATCCTAATCTCTGGTAACTGAACTGAAACTTGTTTCCAATCATAAAACGCTAAGCATTTTCCTAAAATAGGTTAGACAAATGCATTGGGCATATTCACAAGTTTGAAAGCATATTATGTTAGTTTCACATTTGATCTTTTAAAAGTAAGAAATCTTTAAAAAAAAACACCAGATGGGTTAGAAAGCCTATGGGTACTCAGGGAGGTATTCATGGCCATAATAGTACCATTGTATCAAACCCGTTTTAATATAACTGCAAGAATTTCATTCAAAATCTTTGATTCTCAGAGAGGTGCATAGGACCCATTAGAAATAATGTTGGACACTGAAAAGTTGCTTGGAAGATTTGCAGTCATTATAATTATTCTTCATTTCCCAGTTTAAGGTGCTCTAAAAAGGCAATTGTTATTAATATCTGTACTTCTAAACCACTGGCCAACGTAAACAAGGATATTTATCTTAAATTAACAAAGTAGAAATAGTTCAGCAGTTTTTGACTAATAGTTTGCAGACTTTTTCTACAGTATATGCTATTGATTTGTCATGAAAAAAATAGCGTGCAGCTAATTTGAAGATTGTGTTGTAGCATAATGGAAGAAATTAGGGGCAGAAGGAATGGGTAAGGAGCAAACAGTAGGAAACCCAGGCCCTATGATATAAAAGAAGTATCTTATAAAATTAGCAAATATGCCTTATCATGGTAATTCCTGAGCCATTGTCTTATAAACAAAGCAACTGTTTGATGATTTTTAGAGCTCTATACTATGAGCCATCAGTTTAGGAAAATTACCAATTATCTCCTACACATAATTCAACATTTACCATATACTTATTAACAACTTAATACCACTGACCAGAAAAAGTTCAAAAAGAGCCAACTCAATAATTGTTGAAAGTACCGAAAAATGGGGGGAAATCCTCTAGCTGGAATAATTTATAATGTGCTCAATAGTAATGAAAGAAGAGGTTAGGATTGAAGGGAAAGGTATTCAAATAAACTGCTTCTCTGAAGTATGCTAACCATATTGAAATTAATGAAGACGAGAATTACCAATCTATAGTATTAACTGAGGAATCTATATCAATTGTGCAAAATAAACTATTACATCTATCTTAACTTATAATTTTTAGCCTATTTAAAATAAAGCCCTGTACAGTTTCAAAGGCATTTTACTTCCAAGAAAGCTCCACTGAAACCCATGGAACTACTATCCAGTGAAATGTGTTCAGGATCAAGTCTTCTGAGGTGAATATGAAATGAAACAAAACAGGGGTCTCCATTCTTGGCAACTTTAAGACTTGTGGACTTCAATTTCCAGAATTTCCAGAATTCCTCAGCCAGCAAAGCAAAACTGGCTGAGGAATTCTGGGAGTTGAAGTCCACAAGTCTTAAAGTTGCCAAGATTGGAGACCCCTGCTCTATGTAATATACAACTGCTACTGCTTTCTCTATTTGAAAAAAAACAAAAACAAAAAAACCAAGAGAGAAAAATGCTCGTTTTGCACGTCTTGTATCAGCAGTATTAGTATCCAGGAAAGCACAATTCCATAATTTAGGAGATTCAGCTACTATATCCTATGCAGAAAATTGAGTAGTTCATACTTGAAATATCCCTACAAAATTTACGTCACTATGTGTAAGTTTAAATACTTTTTTTTTCCTGGAATGTGAAGAGTTGAAACAGGCAGCCTGAAAACTCGCTGCCATAAAAGCATTAAATGTCATCCAAGTTGCTAAGTCCCTTACATAGATGTCAGTGAATAGCAGTTTTGCACTCAGACCATTTTGTATGAAGATATTTTAGTAGCTTCATTCTGTGCAACTTACTGCCAAATTGCACTAATTCCTCTAAAAAAGAAAATCTAATAGAAATTGCTACGGAATGACTGCTACAGTTTCAGATCTACACAAGAAAGTTCCTTCATATTAAAAACATGCTGCAAATGTTAATCCCTTAATTTACAAAACACAAAGCTTGTGCAAAGTGTTTATGTATAGAAGAGACCCAGAGCGAAGGAGAGAGAAGGAATGTATCCTCTAAATTCCAGTAACAATTAGAGAAATTGTATGATCAGCAGCCACACCCCCACCCTTCTACCACATCCTTGCTGTCAAGTTTGATGCTGTCTGTGTTTTTCTCACTGAACACAGGGCCTCCATGTCTCATCATCAGCTCTGTGGCCATCTTCACAAAAGCTTCCTCTACATTGCTGGAGTCCTTTGCAGAAGTCTCTATGGCACAGATGATATCATAGTGTTCAGCCAGACTCTGAGCCTCTGCTAGTTGAACCTCCCGAAGGTCACTTAGGTCAGACTTGTTTCCTAGCAGAAAACAGAATTGTTGATAAGATTAATTTTTAAATGTGGATTCTGAAGATTAGGGGAACTGTTCAGTTGAGGAAGCCTAGGGAAAAAGACAATGGCAGGGATAGATAAAATTGTGCTGAAGGACCTTAAAAGTGATAAAAGAAATCAGATACTACAGTTACCTCGGAGATGAGAAAAAAACAGCTAATGAAATATCAAGATAAAGAGATAAAAATATAAAAAATAGATAAATAGATAAATCTGAGCCACTGGAAAGTATAGCATTAATTTTTTGGATCCTGGATTTATAATTCTATCCCACTTTGATGTTGACAAACCCTGCATTTCAACATAATACTTCAATCTTAATATTCCTGTGGGCCATCATGGCATAAGCATGGAACATGTCCCAACAGATAGGAAAGCACAGACTCACAAAGTGGCTTGACTTGGTCAAAATATACTGTCAAATAAAGATCCTTAAAGCACGGAATACTGAGTCAACCATAACAGGCTGAAGTAAACAAAGTAAACTGTAGAAGAGCTTGAAAGTAATTTTTTTCCTGCTTCATCAATTATTATGCAGTAATTCAATCCAATGCAAAATAAGGAAGAAATGTTTTTATTTTTGGAAAGGAGGAAATGCCTTTGCACAAGTTGCTATTGTCTCCTAATGCATAGGCATAATTCTTTTTTATTTCTGGTTTACCAAGTAGATCGTTCCACACTCACCAATTAGCAACTGTACTATATTGGAGCCTGCATATTTCCTCACATCCTCGATCCAGCGAGGAATGGACTGGAAAGAGCCTCTCTTACTAATGTCATAGGCTAAAATAGCTCCATTGGCGCTTCGATAGTAACTCTGGGTTATAGTCCGAAACCTTTCTTGACCAGCCGTGTCCCAGATCTGTAACTAAAGAAAGTAAAAAAGAAGTAAGCCTGTAAGTTCTTCAATCATAAGTTGTTGGTTGTACTTATCAGATGACCCTTTCTTATGCATACTGACTGAAAAATATCTAAACAGAGCACAAAATAATTTCACATCCAGTTGGATTACAATATATTATCGCTGGGTTGCCACAGCCAACATGCCCAATCTATTTGGCAAGGGAAAGTGGAGCAGCAAGTTTAAGAGAGCAATGGTGGATAAGCAGCCATGACTCTTCAACATTACTGGTTCCCACAAAGGCAGGAAGGTTAAGGCAATTATAACTGTGATGTACAGAGAGCTGACCTCTGACCACAAGTGCAGTTTTATTTCTTTTTATATCACAAAGCTGCTCTTCACTGCTACAGTATTATAAAAACACATTTGTTTTCAAAGTTGGCCATGTTACGTGTGCACCCCCACAAGCTCTGAAGCACCGCACACCTCTGAAATATACTTAAATTCAAGTTCAACGAAAGGGCATCACTTAAACAAAAGTATTGCTTTAGATTTTTGTATGGTTTACTTTAGGACTGGCATTAAAAAACACTGCCTTGTGTTTGTATGAACTGAGTGAAATATTTTGAAAATGCAGATTGTATTGAAATACTGTAGAATAGGAATCAAGATTATCAGTAATGTCTTTGCCACTAGAGATACTGCATTTGTTATAGGTTTATTTGTATTTTATTGGATTATTACTACTCGTATTGTATTATTGATTTATCAATCTAGAGCAGGGGTGGCGACCTGCAGGCCGAATGTGTCATGCACGGGCCACGCCCAACCCAGCTCCGCAAAGGGGGAAAATGTCGCGAAACATCATGTGATGGCAACGTGATCTAGAACCTCTGGAATGATTTATAAAAATTATAAACAATAAATAAATGGTGACTGTACACATTGATAACTAGTTACATTTAAAGTCTTGCTTAACAACATTTCTTATTAACAACAGTCCATGTAATTATGAAAAAGTACAGGTAGTCTTCACTTGCTGACTGCAACTGGGACAATGCCAAGCTTATGTCAGTTCTACTATGATTATTAAGCGTGACATATGTGACCGTAACTTGCAACTTCCTGCTGACTTCCCCATTGACTCTGTTTGTTGGAAGCCAACTGTAAAGATCACAAATGGCAATTAAGAGACCGTGGGATGCTGTGGCAGCTTCCTGTTTGAGAACCAATCTTAACGCTACTCTTTTAGCATTGTTGTAACTTTGAACAGTCTCTGAATGAGGTAGTTGGTAAGTGAGGACTACCTGTATATAGATAGCGTATATAGATATTTATTCCTGATATCTTCTTTCAAGGAATACATTTTAATCACATTTTTCCACTTAAATCATAATATATTATTGAGGCAAAAATAAAGTTCTGCTCTCTGCTTTTGAAAAATGTAAGACTCCAGCTTGTTCCAAACCTTACAAACGAACATGTGAACAGCTCTTTCTGTACTCATAGATTTCAAAACAGTAAAATATAAAATATTTAATAGTTTTTGCAAAAATCACACTGCAAACCTGTATTACTTACATATGAAACCAGGTGCACATATCATATTTGAAATTATGTATCTTTGAAACATTATAGAGTTGCTCTAAGACTATTTCTTAATATGCTATGCAAAATACTTTTTAAATCTGCTCTATTTTATGCTGCAATAGCAAATATGGAAATATTAATTAGTTCCATCTCCTTGCTAACTATCCTAATATTATAATGCCTATTAACTTAGCTAAAAGCAAGCACACAATGTGATGAAACAATGTGAGTTTAGAAAATGGAATTTTCTCTTTTGATATATAACATTAGTAAAAGAAATTTTGTTAACTTTGTGTGCAAATGTTGACATGCAAGTGTTGTGGCTGAATATTTTGCTTTGAAACCAACCAATTGTCAAAATCAGCATTAAAAGTGGTGTAGTTCGAGAGGTATTCCCGTTACTCCCGTGCTACACCTCTCCTGCACGAGCTGCACTGGTTACCCGTGGTCCTTCGGATCTGCTTCAAGGTGCTGGTACTTACCTATAAAGCTCTACATGGCATGGGCCCGAGGTATTTGCAGGACCACCTTCTGCCGGCCTCCCACCGCCCTGTGCACTCACATAGGACAGCCCTCCTCCGGGTGCCATTGGCCAATGTCGGCTGGTGGCGCCAAGATGAGGGCATTCTCTGTGGGTGCACCGACCCTCTGGAATGGATTACCCACGGGGCTCCGGACGGCCCCCGACCTCCACTCTTTCCGCCGTGACCTGAAGACATGGCTTTTCCAACAAATTTGCTGATCTGATGGGTGATTTTAATTGGGAGATTTTAAATTGATTTGTTTTTAGTAGTTTATTTTTATTGTTCTTATCATCTAATTTTGTGAGCTGCCCCGAGTCCTTTGGGAGAAGGGTGGCATATAAATAAATAAATAAATAAATAAATAAATAAATAAATATTTATTTATTTATGTAAGCTCCATACAGCAGGGCAATCTGATTTATTTTCTTCTAAAAAGCTGTCTCTATAGAAGACACAAACAGCTCTCCCTATGGCATTAAGTTCCTAAACTAAAAGTTTCAAGAGCAGTTGTTGAATATTCTGGAGGGGCCTTTGCCACATTTCCGCAGCTTCCAGATAAAGACCCAAGATTACTATTGAGGTCCAAATAAAGATGTTTGTATCAAATAACATTGAATACTTATTTTAGATGTGGAGGAATAAGGTATTTCCAAGTCTGTATTCAGGCACATCTTGCATTTAATGACCATTTTAGGCTCCAAAGATACTTAAAAGGTAACTTTACTACCAGTCCTTGTATTTATGATTGTCAAAATGCCCCTCTAGTCATGTAACTGACATTTGGGCACTTGGGCACAACTGGTAGGCATTTTATGATTGCAGTTGAAATGCTCCACACCCGACTTTAGGTTAAGTCAATGGAGAAGCAATTGTGGTCACTAAATAAGGTCTATTTGTAACCCCTTCTTGCTTAGAAAGCTCTGTTTTTAGACAATTCATAATAATCAACAGCTGAACCTGCTAGAATGTTTTTGGTGTACCTTCTGGGCATAACTTTTGGGTTATCTTCTGAATTCTAGTCACCCACATGTAGAAAAATTATGGTTTTAAATTACACAAAATCAGACTCTGGTTGAATAGTAGGGAAAAAAATCCTATTGGAAATAGTTCAAAAGCAGAATTCCAAAACGAACTTTCCTTCAAAATATGTATTCAAGCAGATGTCATAGATATTTTAGTTTGGATTCCTGTGCAGAGTAGGCATTGGATTCAATTGTTTAAGTGAACCTTTTCAACACTGATTCTTTCAATAGTTCATTATTAAATCAATATATTTAAAGGCTTTCTTTTAAATATATGCTAATACCTATATATCTTATTACATTAGGATTGGAATAAAAGAGAATTAAGCAACTTCCATTTGGAAATTTTAACCTACCAAGAATAACCTATACTTTAGCAATAACTCATTGTAAAATATTGCACACATTGTCTTTGGAAAATTTCTTGATTACTTTCAAAACAAGGTCTGGAAAAGCATTCTATTTACTTTCCCAAACTGAACAGGTTTATAGCCCTCTTTGGTGTGCCGTGTCATATAATAAAGGAGTTACACAACATGTCTGTTAAAGTCAATTAAAATCCTAAAACTCTTTGACACAATGCCAATAACTTTTCCAGGTCAAATTACTAAATCCTACCGGGATATCGAAGTCTCTCCCCTTTTATTTACGTACATGAAATCTTGTTGATCCAGATTACAAAGCATGACAATTATTTTTTTTAAAGTGTACATTAGAGGCATTCATGTTCTCTATAATAAAATATGTTTATTGTACTGAGGGCAAATGCTAATACTTTCCTGAAATGTGGGCATTTTAAAAAAAATCTACCCTTAATAGCAAAGGGGGTATATTTAATGTATTCAGATCTAGATGTCTACAATACATACATACATATAGATATGAAAAAAAGGGAGAAATTAAAAATTCAAATTAGCCTGATTTAAAGCATTACAAAAAGTCTCCCAGTTAATTTTACAATGTTCCACAGAGCTGGAATGGTATAGTGTTTCCTGCCTGAGCAGGGGGTTTGACTAAAAGACCTCTAAAGTCCCTTCCAACTCTGTTATTCTGTTCTAGAATGATACTTAAACCAGACTACCCATCTATGCTTTAGCACACAAGCAGAATATTCGCATGAGTTACGGGCCCTGTCATGACAAAATTACTTATACGGGGATTACAACCTAATTTCTAAACAATACCAACCGAATCTTAGAAGTTAGGAGATGCGGAGCAATCTCCTAAGTTAAGTAAAGAAGTTTGTCTCAAAGTTTGTCCCAAGATTTTATACTTACTATTACTCATCGGATAAGCAAAGTGGACTCTTATCAAAAGCAAAGTGGACTCTTTCATACTCAAACAGGCTCCAAACTCAAGTTCATGGAACTGTGTTATCAACACAGTTACAACTCAATTACAAAAGAACTCCTAATGTTATCTTATTTTCAAACATTACCTAAAAGCTCCTATGGTGAGTTTTATTTGAATAGGCCTGGAATTATCACCACTGAGGTTCCCCCAGCAGTTGAAGAGGCTTGTTTCTTAAGCACCTCCAGAAAGGCAAAGAATAACCGTTGAGGCATTTTTACAGGGGATGTGCAGCAGTGGTGGGTTTCAAATTTTTTTTACTGCCGGTTCTGTGGGTGTAGCTTGGTGGGCGTGGCGTGGCTTGGTGGGCGTGGCAGGGGAAGGATACTGTAAAATCTCCATTCCCACCCCACTCCAGGGGAAGGATACTATAAAATCTCCATTCCATCCCCAATCCAGGGGAAAGTTACTGCAAAATGCCCATTTCCTTCCGATCAGCTGGGACTTGGGAGGCAGAGAATAGATCTCTGATCTATTCAGTCAGAATTTTTACTACCGGTTCTCCAAACTACTCAAAATTTCAGCTACCGGTTCTCCAGAACTGGTCAGAACCTGCTGAAACCCACCTCTGATGTGCAGTACCTAAATGTTGTTGTTGTTGTTTTTTTAACTTTCTGAACCGGGGGTCTCCAACCTTGGCAACTTTTAAGACGTGTGGACTTTTAACTCTTTAGCTTTGCCAGCTGAGGAACTCTGGGAGTTGAAGTCCACAAGTCTTAAAGTTGCCAAGATTGGAGACCTCTGTAAATCTGAATTTCGCAAAGGGTGGGTGGGTGGGAGGGGGAGGGAGAGTGGGAGTCAAATTCTAGTTCTTTTTATTGGTTTTAAAAGGTATCCGAACTGCCAGCACAAACTCTTAGGCAAATTCTGCCTTGGCGTTGAATTCTCTCGGCCCAGCCAGGGATGTCAGCAGATCGGCTGGTGAAGACGTGTGGGCGCCTTTGGGTCTCCCGGGAAAGGGACGTTGCCATGCCAGCTTCTTCTCCCCCGATCGCAGCTGTTGTTCTGTCCGCACACCTGTTACCTGCCCGGCCAGCGCCTCGAAGGGAGATAAGACGGGGGGGGGGGGTTGGCCGCGGGGCCGCTTCCCTCCCTCCCTCCCTCTTTCTTTCCCTCCCTCCCTCGTCCCCCGTCCCGCTGCCCACCTTGACCCGCTTGCCCTGGATCTCCAGGCTCTTCATGGTGAAGTCCACGCCGATGGTGTTTCCCTGGCGCTCAGAGAAGGCCCCGGTCTTGAAGCGCTGCACCAGGCACGTCTTGCCCACGCTGGCATCGCCGATCAGCACCAGCTTGAAGAGGAAGTCGTAGTGCTCCTCCGGGTCCGGCCCGGGAGGCGCCGACGGGGAGCTGGGCATGACCGCGGCGCTGCTCTCCCCGCGGCTGCCCGACGCAGGTCCCCTCGCTCCCGTTTGGCAGCCGCAGCGCCGGCCTCAGCATCCTTCCCCGCCCGCCCGGCCGCCTTCCTTCCTTCCTCTGCCAGGCCGAAGCAGTGGGCATGCGCGGCGGGAGCTTGCGTTCTTCCTCCTTCCACGCCCCCCCACCACGTTCCCACGCGCCAGGCGTCGAGGGTGGGGCAAAAGTGCAGGGCAGGATTCCCTTCGGGCTTAGTGGGCGGGCTTAGCGGCTTTAACCCCTGCCCCCTCCCTAGCTTGGAGGGCGAGGTCGCCCATTAAGATGGCCGGATTTCCGTGTGACGTTATCTCTCTGGTTGCCCTGAGCAGGAAGCGCGCCTAGAGAAACTCCCCCCCCCCCCCCCGTGTATGCTCTGCACCTTGAACCTTTGATGGCTAAATTCCCTAGAATTAGACGCAATTTCTGTTTTACATGCAACGGTTGACATAGTGCACTTTGAACGGGAACGGTTCCCAGAAGAATGCCCGAAATAAACAAAAACAGAGCTCCTTGGAGGCAAACATAAAATGTATTGGTCTTTAGGGTGCGGCAAAGCTATGGAATCAATCACAGTGAGGGTGGCCAGTCCAACGTGTGTAAAAATTAGTGATCAAATAAGTTCTGGATGAGCTCCCTGCAGCAGGAAACGTTGGCAGGAAACGCACAACCCTGCAATTAATTGTTAGATTCACTTAGTCATTTATAATTGATCTTTATTTGTAATTTTGGAATAAACCAGCACATGCTTTATACAAGCTGAGTATCACTCTACAGGAAATACAGGGATACTGAATGCATTTGTTTATTAGTTTTCCAGTAATTTTTACCAAAGCTCTTTGATACTGTAGGAAGTTAGCACCCACCCCTTTCCTGGAAGAATGAAATATTTTAGGAAATATTAAAAAGGCAGAATATTATATTTCCCTGGATGAGAAATGGAGAAACATGTTTTAAAAGCAGCTTCCTGTCTCCCCACCACCACACCTTTGTTAATAGGCCAGAGGCAGAAACTCAATTCCCTCCCATCTTTGTCAATGGACAAATCTACAATAGGACCCATCTAGGACAGAAACTCACCACATGGCACCTGGGAAGATTACATCAGCCAGCAAGGCTAGCTAAAACCCCCACCCACTGGGAGTCTGACAAGCAATCAGGATACTCTTTCGGGGCCCCAGGAAGTTCAAAGCCAGAGAGCATAAAACCCGGAGACTCGCTGTATCTCGCCCTTTTTTCTGTTCAGGAACTCAAGCCATGTGATCCTGTCCACCATTAAACCATCTTTCCAAGCAGTCTTCATGTTTCCAGTGTCTTTTTCCCACTTGGAGCTGAACCCAGAAGGATATTTCTTCCAACAATACAAAGGATACCAGGCATCCCACAAGACAGAAAAAAGGAACAGGTGGTTGAGTTAAAATGTAGAACATTTTCTCAGAGTCAGTTGAGTCCTGAACCAAAATTTGTACCAAAGCCATAAATTTCACACAAAGGAAAAATGTTACATGGTAATAATATTTGTGTTTCTCTATATTCCTCTCCCTCACTAAGGCTGATAGTTAAATAATTTTACAAGTATGTTTGTTTCCAAAGCTTTAATAAAAGGAGTTCAGAGCTTGTCCTCTGTATGCTTGTTGACACTATGAAGGGCTATAAGTTTAGGATCTGAGTTTAGGATCTACCTTTGTAAAAGTCTACTGTAGTGCAGGGGTGTCCAACCTTCTAAACTTTAAGACTTGTGGAGTTCAACTCCCATAATTCCCCAATCAGCATTCTGGGAATTGGTCCACAAGTCTTAAAGTTGCTAAGGTTGGACACCCCTGGTCTAGTGGTTGTTTTTTCTTCCATCCAGCATATCACAGGAGATGCCTGTGTTGCTTCAGGTTGCTTAGCTGTTCTTTCTGTCATGGAGAGGACCTTTGCCAGGCTCACAAGATCTGTGCTCTACTTGTATGCTGCTATTGTTTATTGGAGAGCATCCTTCTTCAGTATGAAAACCAGATATGTGTGTCTGTGTATCTGTGTGTTTACATATATGTAAACAGTGCCTAGCCAAGAAAGCAAATTTGGCAATGAAAGGGAAAAATACTGATTCTGCTATGCAGTAAATTGTGCTGTAAATTATCTTACTTTTTACTTCATAAAATGATGATATCCAAACCTCTAAGCCACAATAGATAACTCAGCAAGAAATATATCTATGGCTGTCAATCTTTCTTGAGTGGAAAGTTAAATGTATTCTTTCTAGTCAGTTTTTATAGAAGTATTCTTCAAATTAATCATTATTAATCAAAAGAAATCTGCAGTTTTCCCTGGTGTGAACATTTGCCACTATTGATTATGACAAATGTTTTGCAGTTAACTTTAAAAGTAAGCATGAAATATAGCTGTAGATATTAATAAATACATTCACATATCAGGACATGTACAATTGATCTGGTCATATAATTATGACAGTTCCATGCACAGCGTTCAATTTATGCATAGTGTCAATAAACTGTTGACTTGTATGTTATGTAAGGTTAGTGATTACAAATATATAAACTCTCTTCAAGCTTCGTAAAATGGACATAAGAAAATGTCCTTTGGCCTGCCTTCTCAATCCTTGAGAGTTTGGTTAGCATGATTTGTAATAAGAATGTGATCATATACTGTAGTTGAATGTAATGAAAACCCTCCAAGGAATTGTGATATTAATAGATGAACATCTCCGAAGAAAAGTCAGAAATGGTGGTGGGTGTGTGGGTGTAAAAGCTAGATCTGCTCTGCATATTTAAAATATGAATTGTGGGCTATTTAACATTCTAAAATATTAAGTATTGAATGAAAATAGGAATGGGTACAGTACATATATTTTTACTGGGATTTTAAGGTAATATTTCATTACTGAAGACATACCTGTATCTGACCAAATATTGTGACTTTTGTACTGTAGCTACAGTTTACAGTGCTGATAAATGTTACCTTTTAGACTTTATATTTCATATACATAGAATTTGTCACTCTCTGGAGAATATGCAGAAAAATGCCCATATTTCCTTAAGTATTTCATTTTCAAATATTAAGTGCTTTGAGCCTATACTTTAAAAAGGGTTTAAAATACAAAAGAAAATGTAGCACATTTAAATGGTTTTTAGTTGGATTGAAAAATCTACTGAAAACAAGTATATCATTAGTTTTATCTTTTTGAGTAAAGCAAACCTATATGCTCTTCTGTGACCTCATCATTACATTTGATGAGGTTGTATTGTACTAATAAGTGAAGTATTATATAATTTAACAAGATCATCCTCCCAAGCAGTGTAGTCTGTTGCCCTCCTTTATTTCCCAAAGCCTTGCCAAGCATATTAATTTTTTCTCATCCATTATCTGCCTGTATCTCATACCCCCAAAGATGTGAGTTTCTGTTTGCTGATTATTGTCTCAAGAGAGCTTCAGTTTTATTTAGTTTAGGGCTGATCAATTTTTTTCCTTTCTATCTATAGCATTCCTAATGGCCACCCCCAAATTTATAATTTGAAAGCATCTATCTTTTATCTCTCACCCTTACTCAGTATCCAAGTTTTGCAGTCATTGCTTTAACTGGAAAGTCCATTGTTTTAATTCTTCTTCCTTTCTTTTGGAAGACATGCCATTCCATTTAAACTCTGTCTAAATTGATCGTTGCCCACTTCCTTATGATTAATTTTGTGTTTCTTCTTCTTTCACAACATTTTTGAAAGTCACTGGATCGTTTCCTATTTAAAACATTTTTTATTTTCCCCCTGCTTTTCTTTTTATGAAATATTTTATCTGTAGCTTCAGTTAAACATAGTAAATAATTTCCCTATATACATTCTATATTCTGATAGAGTTATATCCTTTAATAAAGACATCTGTCAGGGGAAAGAGGCATTTTTCATCTTTCTCAACTTCAGTTATTTTCACCCAGTGAAAGGAAATAATACATTCCTTCTCCTTTACCTTATATTGCATAGCCTCTGTCAAGGGCACAGCTGAAGTCTGACAGCATTGACGATGTAGTTAAGTGAGAAGAGAAGGGCAACAGCACTTACTTAAAGCTTTAAATATTTTTCAGTCCTAGTGCTTTAAGTCACTGTTTTCTGAATTGTATTTTCTAAATATGATTGGCATGTATTATTTTTCCAGATGCATTGTCATATGGCATTGTTTTAATTTGCATTATATTGTGAGTTTTATATTGTATGCTGCCCAGAGTCAAGAAGGAATTGGGCAGCCAATAAATTTAACTTATAATAATCAAAGAAGACCTGGAGCTGTTTTGGTTACTTGATTAGGGAGTTCTGTTTTGCATATGTCAATCCAGCTTTGTTGTATTTCACATACTCCAGGATTAAGTCCTGGTTTTGACAGTACATTCCAAAATTTATTCTTGGCACAAATTAAACTCTCCATTTGGCCTGGTGCTATAATTTGGTAAACTAAGGAATCTATTTTAGGAAAAACACTGAACTAGTAAGGAATTAATTTAGTATCATTGTATTTTACTGTAATGATTAGGCAAAAGTACTAGTAGGACTGTTAGATTCTGAAGCAAAAACAAAAATAAAAAAATTGACTTTCTATTGCAGGACTGAGTGATTGTCAATCTAATTGTGTAGAAGCATCTAATGAAAAAGTTGAGTTTTAGTACAAAGAAGTGATCCATCATTGATTTGTTATGAAAGAATACCATAAATAATAACATGTATCTCCTATTTTGGAATATAGCGTTCATCAAAGTTCTTACCCTAACATTTTGCATTGTTGCTACAGTTTTTCAATAAAATAAATGTCAGCTACTAATAACAGATTTCCTGAAAATGATGTTCTCAGTTATTTTTTATGCTTTCTCCCATTTGTTCTGTTTCACAAAATGAGGTAATGAGATCCTTTGAGTTCTAAAAGTATACAGTGTATTTCTACAATATACATTTTGTGAGCAGCTGTTATAAAATGTATGAGCACTAAAAAGTTTTCATATTTTTATGTAAAGTGATGTTGCCAGCTGGGAGACAGAAACAAAACTTTTGACAAGTAAGCACTGCTGTGGATTTGTTTATCTGTTTTTGCATATATATAGTTCTCTGGGTTAATATATCTCTCTCTTTTG